GGTCAGTGCTCTCAGGAGTGCCTGAACTTCCCTCTGCCCCTCTCTGGAGCTGCTGGCACTGGGCAGGAGAGGATCCCAGCTGGGATCATCCTCCTGCAGGGTGAGGAAGGTCCAGGAGGAAACTCCAGGCACTGCAGTGAGGGCTGTGCTACAGTTCAGCAATTCCTGCAGTGTCTTTCTGACTCCCCAAACATTGGGGAAACATTTATTCCACCTCCACAGCCGCCTTTTCCTGGAAACGCAGATAATGCTGCCTTCCCAATTACTCATTTTGTGGTTTTCTATCAACAAAGGGACTTTTGACCAAAACAAAGCAGCCCAGGATTGCACAGGCTGGGCTGGGGAGGGAGCAGACCCCAGCAGGGTCAGAGTGTGGGGGGACAGAAGGGATCAAGGTGCTGGGGGGGATTTGGGGAGCAGAATGAATCAGTAGGAAAAGCAGTGAGCCATTTATCTGTCAGGCTGGTTGGCCAAGGGTTACCCCATGAATAATGCAGCATCCCCAGCATCATTTCATTCCTATCCTTGAGCTGTGGAGGTCCAGCAGAGCAGCCGATTTCATCTTTGCTGAGGAATCCCAGAAAAATCCGGGACCACCCCATGCATTGTGTAATCCCTCATGGCAGCTCTGCTCCACACCCTTTTTCTGGCCAGGCTGGGTCACTGCAGATTCTGCCCCGGGCCACAGTGGAAAGTCTGTTGGCTGGAGTGAGGAATGCTCTGTGATAATTGCAGCATTAGAGAACTGAGAAATGGCTCAAATTCCAGCTGAATTTGTAAGGTTTTAAGCCCTCTTTGAATTTGAGGAGGATTCCACTGCTCTTGTCATCAATGAATGGCTTTCACTGAAAGAGAGGAGGTTTAGATGGGATATTGGGAAGAAATTCTTCCTGTGAGAGTGGTGAGGCCCTGGCACAGAGAAGCTGTGGCTGCTCCTGGATCCCTGGAAGTGTCCAAAGCCAGGCTGGACACTGGGGCTTGGAGCACCCTGGTGTCCCTGCCCATCCCAGGGTTGGAATTTTTAAATTCTAGATGATTTTTAAGGTCCTTTCCAGCCCAAACCCTTCTATGACCCAACATTTGCTTGCAGGGGTGACACAATGAGGCAGAGGGGAGACATAAAAAGTTTCAAAGCTGCCTCAGATCTCAGCTGCTCCACGCTCCTTTCTGTCCTCTCCCACTCAGCTTTCCTCTCCTGATGTTGCAAACAGGGGGAGGTTGGAAAAWTCATCTTGGAAGTCTCTGAATGAGGAGTAGAGGGATTCAGGCACCCAGAGAGAATTTTGTGTAAACAGAAACATGGCTCAGACAGTGAAGCAGCCCACAGGATGGCAGCAGAGCAGCTCCAAGGATCCATCTTTTGGCCTTACTGGGAGCCCAGTGCCTCCCAAATGGGCTGCAGCAGCTTCAGTCTGAATCCTGGTGCAGCTCTGGAGCTGGGGAATGCTCCTCTGCTGGCATCTCTGCAGCTCTGAAAGCCAAACCTCTGCCTGCAGATCTCTGCAGAACGCTCACCTTGAGGAGCCAGACCTGAGCTGGCTCTTTGCTGC